CGGGGCCAGCGCGTTCGCGGCCCCAGGCCCTGTTCCATCTAATTAAAAAGCCGCGGCGCGAGCCCGGAAGCGGGCGGGGGCGGGGGCGGTGGACACTGAGGCACCTCGGCCAGCCCGGGCGGCAGCGGCGTCCTCTAGCCTCCGCTCGGCTGGCGCGGGGCCTGGCAGCCATGCCTCCCACGCCCCCGGGCCCGCTGGGCGACTGCCTGCGGGACTGGGAGGAGCTGCAGCAGGACTTCCAGAGCATCCAGGTGAGCGCCAATGCGGGCGCCCGTTGGCCCCGAGCCATGCCTCTCTGGCTCGGGGTCATTGGTCGGGCCGCTGTGTGTCTGGCCGCGGGGAACAGGGGTCAGGAGTTGGGGACCCTGGCGTCGTTCCCGAGGGCGGCGAGGCCCAGGGTCCTGGGGTCCCGCCTGGACTCTCCTCTCGGCCTCATGTCAGTGTCGGACGGAGGCAACTGCGGACCCCACTGCGCCCGGCGGACCCAGGGCCTCTCGCGAGGGCCTCGGAAAGAGGCCGCGACCCCAACCTCGCTTTCTTACGGAAGAATGGCCGCTTGAGTGAGAGCCGGCCGGGCCCAGTGTTGGGCCAGTCACTCAGCGAACAAGCGGTGGGCGCCGCCCGACCGGGGCCGCGAGTAGTGCCGTCCCGCCCCTGGGACAGCACATCTGGACCGAGTGCACCTGGGGCGCAGCCCGGGAGGCAGGCGGGCTGGGCCGGGCGGTGGTGTGTAGGTGACGTCCGGGCCTGGACGGGGCTGCAGCGGAGTCGGGGGGAAGTGGGTGGACCAGCCTCGCAGGCGCCTGGGGGTCTGGCCGGGACTGGAAGTCTCCGAGACCAGCGGAGCCCCTGGATGAAATGGCCCGGCCCGCTTTGTATGGCCGCTCTGCTGTTCGGCGGGAGTCCAGGAGGACGTGGGCAGTTGGGGCTGGGTGTGGGCAGAGGGTGGAACCTGCTGGGTTCTGAGGGGCGCGGTGGCAGGAGGAACAATACTCATTCAGGGCAGAGCTCAGGAAAGCTGTGTTTTTGGTGAGGACTTTACCTCTCCTGGGCTGATTCCAGTCCCTGCCCACATTGAAGCCCAGCTGCCACCCTGGCCAGCCATACCTGCTGCCATTAGTGCTTCTTCCTAGAGTCCTAAGTGGAGCCGACCGAGTCTCCCAGCCTGATCACCACTGGCCTGGCCTCAGCCCCTGCCTGACCTTCCTCACATTGCCCCTTGCCCAGCCTCCAGGCTGCTGCTTCTCTAGACTCACCCACCAGGGCAAAGTGCTCTGGGAGGCTTTGGGCCAAAGGTGCTGGGGGAGGTGTATGGGACTGGTCTTACAGTAGGAAGACCAAGAACTGAAGCCTGATGACCTTTAACCTGGGAGGAAGATGAAGGGAGTGCCAGAGCAGAGGCCATCTTGGACAATCCCAGCTCCCTCTGCACATGTGGCTGGATAGGCAGGAGCATCGGCCAAGGCCAGGGGTGGCTTCAGGTAGCCTGTTTGGTCCAGAAGGTGGACCTGTGGGCTTAGAATCCAGACTCAGGGTGGGACAGAGAGGGGTGGAAACAACTAGTAGATGAGTTTAGAGTAAAAAAACCTTCAGGGAACTAGCCAGTTTCTGGAAGGGGGATGCTGTGGGTGCTTCTGGGCTTGCAGAAAGAACCCTGTCTCCTTGCCTGCCTTGGAGAGAGAGAGAGAGCAACCTTAGGGAGGTCCCTGGGCTGGCACAGCTGGCTGCCTCATCTGCTGAGACGCTCCCAAGGAGCCCTGGAGGAATCTGTGCCCCAGTCCCTGCCCAGCAGGCTCTGGCTCAATGGCCCTCCAGCCAGTCTGACCCTTCTCTCATCCTGGTCCTCAGGAGACCCACAGGCAGTACCGTCTGAAGCTGGAAGAGCTGATCAAACTGCAGAACAGTTGTACCAGCTCCATCACTCGGCAGAAGAAGAAGCTCCAGGAGCTGGCCCTCATTCTAAAGAAGTTAGGACCCCCCCTGCCCCCCCGAGGGCCCCTCAGTCTTGGTCTGGGTGTGGGTGTCTCACCTGGTGGGGTGGAGGGCTGGTGCTGACTCTGGGAGTGTCTTTGGCACAGCTCCTCCCCTCCCTCTCTGAGCCATGGTAGCCCTCTTGCCCCACAGGTGTCAGTGTGATACTCCTGCTCTGACTGGCTTCTGTGGTCCCACCTGCAGATGCAAACCCTCCCTTCCAGCGGGGGTCCAGGAGGCTTCGAAGGAACTGGAGAACCAGATCAAGGAGCGCCAAGGCCTCTTCTTCGATATGGAAGCCTATTTGCCCAAGAAGAATGGGTGAGACCCTGCCCCCAAATTCAGCTCACAGCCACTCCTGGGAGACAGGCCTGAAGTGCACTCTTCCTCTGCTTGATCATTGAGTCAGCAGATGTTCCCTGGGCCCACTCTGGGCTGAGCAGTCTGTCTCAGGGGAGACAGCTGAGAGACAGACAGCTCACTGTGATTGGGTGCTTTGAGGTGAACCTACAGTGAACATTGGCTAAGGGAGGCCCCTAATTCAGCCCAGGAGGTCAGAGAGAGCCTCCTGGAGTAGCTGAGGCCTGAGTGGAGTTGAACCTGGTCAGAAAAGCAGTAATAGCAGTGGGAGGTGAGAGGTAGTGATGAGACCGCAGGGGAGCCAGGCTGCAGAGTCCCCAGCAAGCAGGGGAGAGTGATAGGTCACGTAAGTATGCACTTCCACAACTGAGGAGGATGAGTAGGTACAGTACAGAACCCTAGGCTGAGCAAAAAAAAAGTCTAGCAGAGATGGCAGGTAGCCAGACAGCTGGGAGAGAGCATGTCCCAGAGGGCAAGGTAAGAAGGAGTACCAGCCTCAGATCAGATGGCCTCAGGGGTCAAATGTAGTAATGAAGGGGAAATACTTCCTGGAAGTCATGGTGACCTTGGAGAGAACCACTTCACAGGACGGTGTGGGTGGAAGTTGATATTGGGAATGACAGAAGAGCTGAGGAGACAGCCAAGTTTAGGTTACACTTCAGAAGCTTGGCTGTGAATGGAAAGAGGAACTAGTACCTAGAACTTAGTGTGAGGGTTGGGGCTGGGGTGCGGCTTTTGCTTGAGCGTATGTGTAACTTTGAACAATAGGACAAATGAGTGTATCTACCTGCTGGAAGGTGGGCCAGCAGAGGGAGAGACCCAGAAAGGGAACACCAAGTGATGGAGGAAAACTCTTGGGAAGATGGAGAGGGTTGGACATAGGCTCCTGTTGTTTGGGGATGAGAGGGGGTGCAGAGATAAGCGTAACAGTGCAGGCAGGAGAGGTGTTGGATGCCAGGAAGGCGAAAGGATGGGATAGGGAGCCAGTGGTGGTCCTGGGAGGCAGCCTTGTCTAAGTGTCCACTATGCCCCTTAATTTCTTCACAGCCTTGGGCAAGTCCTTTAACCACTCTGAACCCATCCATATGGCTTGAACAAGAGCCCATGTGTGGGTGTAGTTGCTTAGTGCATGACCGAGACTCTCTGGTCACCTCTTGAGGTTTCTCTGGCAGAGAAGGACAAGACAAGCTTAGCTGATGGGTGTGATGGTAGTGCCAGGAACTGGGAGTTACAAGTTGGCAAGAAAGTGGTTGACATGTGAAGGAGGGCTTGGGGACTTAGCTGGCTCAGGAAAGAGGAGCAAGGTCAACAGTGCCTGGGAGCCTCCGTGTGGGGAGGGTCCATGTGGTGAAACGGGCTGCACGGCTGGGCACTCTGATCAGAATGTAACCAGCCTTGCCGAGGAGGCCATTCTTGGTTGGGAGGAGGTCCTGGAGTGGTTGTGAGTGTGGGTTGCTGCAGTGGACTTGGGGCTGCAGGTTCTCAAAAGTAGCAGGAACTGTAGGGTAGCTGATAGATGGTGATCGTGCACCCAGACATTGAGTCCACTGCCCAGACGCACAGGAGCGATCTGAGATGTGGGCAAGGCTTTCATGGCGTGGAAGAGCCAGGCTGCTCTTGAGGACCCATGGTGGGGGGCGCTGGGAGAGCGTGGGTGACGATGACAACGGAGGGAGGGAAAGTTATTTACCTTGAAGCAGGATTTAGGAGTAGGCAGGAACAAAGGCTGCGCGTCAGTGTTTCCTGGTCTGCAGCATCCCAAGGTCAGAGCCCTAAGCCAAGGCCATGGGAAGGCTGAGTGGGGGTGGTGATCCAGATACTGGTCTGGCACACTCCAGGGCTCGGCTTTTGGCTGCTTTCATTTGGGGCCTCTTCTCACCCCATCTCCCCCTTCCCTAGGTTGTACCTGAGCCTGGTTCTGGGCAACGTCAACGTGACACTCCTGAGCAAGCAGGCTAAGTAATTGGTTATTGTAGGCTGGTTCTCAGCCCAGCTCTCCACCCTTCTGGGGCCTTTCCACTGCTCCAACTGCCCTGGCTAAGCCTTGGGGTTCAGGGGCTACTCCCTCATGCAGGCCCATACCATGCATGCAGCTGTGTCTGGAGCAGGTGCCCCCCTTCTCAGGCAGAGGTGAGGGTGGGTCCCACCAGCATCCCAGCCTGTCCCATGTGTGTGTGTGCCCACCCCAGGTTTGCCTACAAAGATGAGTACGAGAAGTTCAAGCTCTACCTCACCATCATCCTCATCCTCATCTCCTTCACCTGTCGCTTCCTCCTCAACTCCAGGTGGGTGTCCTACAGCTCGGGCCAGACCTTGTTTCCTCCGGCTCCAGCACCAACCCTGTGTTCCCTCTGTAGGGTGACAGACGCTGCCTTCAACTTCCTGCTGGTCTGGTATTACTGCACACTGACCATTCGAGAGAGCATCCTTATCAACAATGGTTCTAGGTGGGCAAGGGCCTGACCCCAGCTCCTGGGGGCGGGGGTGAGGGAGGGGGTACTGGAGCTACCCTAGAAAGTGGAGTGGTGGTGCCACGGCCCTCTGAGAAGCAGGAACTGGGCTGGGGTGTTGGTTTCTTCCCACCTCAGACAGCTCCCTGTCCCTGAGCACCAGTCCTGGGGGCTAAGGGTTACAGAAGTGACAGCAGCTTCCTGATATAGGATCAAAGGCTGGTGGGTTTTCCATCATTATGTGTCCACGTTCCTGTCGGGAGTCATGCTGACATGGTGAGTGGCCCAGCTTGGCTCCCAGGGCAGTGGGGGAGGGGGGGAGCCAGGACAGGAAGACGCGGCATCCCCAAGCTCCCACCCCTCCCTCTGCTTTCTGCCTTAGGCCCGACGGCCTCATGTACCAGAAGTTCCGGAACCAATTTCTGTCCTTCTCCATGTACCAGAGTGAGTGTCTCAGGGCCTTGCTCAGCTCAGGACTTGTCCAGAGAGAGGGGCGGGGAAAGGACTTGGGGCTCCAGCCCAGTCCTGATGTCCTCCACCCCCCAGGCTTCGTGCAATTCCTGCAGTATTACTATCAGAGCGGCTGTCTGTACCGCCTTCGGGCCCTGGGTGAGAGGCACACCATGGATCTCACTGTGGGTGAGTCGGGCGTGGCCCCTCCACTGGACCATGACCAGGAAGCTGGGAAGGGGCAGTCCTTCCCTCTCTACCTGAGTGATAGTGTCTGTCTCTGTCACTGGTTATTCTATGCCCTGCCCCTTCTCCCTCACAGAGGGCTTCCAGTCCTGGATGTGGCGGGGCCTCACCTTCCTGCTGCCCTTTCTGTTCTTTGGACATGTAAGTTGTATCTGTGTCCCCTTCCATCTGGCTGTCCAGCCCCTGCTCTGGCTCGAGCAGGGACTGTGTTCTATGTGAAATCCCCCTCCTTCCCAGTTCTGGCAGCTTTTTAACGCGCTGACATTGTTCAGCTTGGCCCGGGATCCTGAGTGCAAGGAGTGGCAGGTGAGCCAGGGACACTGGAAAGCACGCTGGGAGGACTGTGGTTCGGCCCCTGTCCTAATCCTGATTCCTCCCCCAGGTGCTTATGTGCGGCCTCCCCTTCCTCATCCTCTTCCTCGGCAATTTCTTCACCACCCTGCGGGTTGTGCACCAGAAATTCCACAGTCAGCGGCACAGGAGCAAGAAAGATTGAGGCTGGGTCTTCTGCCCACTGGCTTGGAAGGGGCTTCTGTACCCCATGTGTTGTTTCAGGAGGTGGGATTCCCTCGTCCAGAAGGTCTCTCTGCTCTCTCTGGGTCTTGTGGGCTCTGTGGGCCCCAAAGGCTATGCTGGAGAAGACCTGGACCTGTGTCCCAGCCTGTGGCGAGCTGGGGGCCAGTGGCCTTAATAAAGGAAGAGAGGCACAGAGGTGGTGTGAGGTGTGTGGTCTCCTGGTGGTTCTCTGTGCTGCCACAGCACGGGTTCTTGGGGCTCCTGAATTGGTCTCTCTGGTGTCTCAACTAAGCAGACCTAGGTGAAGGCCCCAGATCTGTTTGAGGAACATCAGGCAAATACAGAAAACAACTTTATTCCAAGGGCCAGAGGTTATTTAAAATTATTTACATTCATTGAAAATCACGTGGAGGGGCCAAGCCCCTGCTCAGCTGAGAGAAGAGCCCCTTCTGTACAGCCACTGGAGGCCTGAGGTGTTCACAAAGTGAGGACCTGGTCACCCCTGGCCAGGCGCCCTTAGGCAGGAGGCCTCAGTCTTTGTCACTGAGTCTGCATCCTGGGACAAGGCCCAGCAGAACCCATCCAGGAAGCTGCAGAAGGGGAGGAAAGTGATTATATGGGGAAGCCAAGTCTATAGGGCGTGAGGGCAGAGTGGGCTCTTAGCTCCACACATCCAGGGAGTATCGGCCCTTGGTCATCAGTTTCTTGATGTAGTCCACGGCCTGGGTGTGTTCCATGGACCCCAGCTCAGACACGATGTCGTAGAAGGTGTTCTGCACATCCCTCGCCATGTTCCGAGCATCCCTGTGGGGAGGAAGGTGGCATTGGGGGCTGGGCAAGGAGTGTCCCCATGGGCAGACAGAGCCTCAATCTTCCCACTCCTCTACCCTCACTCACCCACAGACATAGATGTGGGCGCCCCCCTCGTGGATCAGCTTCCACAGGTGCTCCTTGTCTCTCTTCAGTAAGTGCTGGACGTAGACCTGAGAACAGAGGGTGGTGCCCGTGAGGAGGCCAGTCTTGCAGCCCTCCACCCCGCCAGAGCGGTCGGCCCCTTCCTCACCTTCTGAGGCTGTTCCCGGGAGAATGCCACATTGAGCTGGGTGAGGGAGCCCTCCTTGTGGAACTGGGCCAGCTCTTCACGGTACAGGTAGTCCTCGTCAGAGCGGCGGCAGCCATAGTAGAGCAGCGTCTCACCCACCTCCTTACCTGGAGGGGGGAGTGCCCAGGGTGGGCATGGAATCTGTCCCATCTCTGCCCCTTCCCCCACTCCCCTCACATCCACTTGGGCCCACACACTCACCCTGCTGCCGCAGCCAGGCCCGCTCCTGAATGAAGCCTATGAAGGGGGCAACCCCAGTGCCAGGGCCCACCATGATGACAGGTGTGGTGGCCTTGAAGGGCAGGCGGAACTGGGACTTGCGCACAAACATGGGCACCAGGGCCCTGCAGCCGTTCTCCCCTGCGGGCTCCTTGGCTCGAAGCCAGCTGGTGGCCACACCCTTGTTGATTCGGCCAGACTTGGTTTCATATTCCACAACCACAGCACAGATGTGCACAGAGTTGGCGTGGACCTGGCGGAGGGCAGGAGTGAGTTCAACAGTGGTGCCCGAGGCCCCATTCTGCCACCAGCCCTGTCACCTGAGCTGCCTTAGGGCTTTTCCATACCCTTCATGGTGCCCAACCCCCAAAAGCCCCTTTCCAGTAGCTTTCCTGACTGGCTTGCCACCAGGGCTGGAAGCAGTGTGCAATCTTACAGCCAGCCTACTGGGATTACTGCCCAGTGAACGGAGTGAACTGTCCCAGGAGCTTGGGTCAGAGCTGGAGCCGCACTCGGGGCTCCCATGTCCCTCAGAGATGCCAATGCTATACTTTCTGTAAGGTGCCAGCCTTCCCCCACCTTGGAGGAAGAAGCGATGGAGTAGTAGCGGGCCTGCAGCCGAGGCAGCAGCTCACACAGGTGGTCGATGGGGGGCCGCAGGGATGGGTAGTCCTGCAGGATGGCCAGGATGTGCCTCCGAGCCTCCACCACCCAGCTCAGGTACAGCTCCTGGGGAAGACAACTTGGGGTGAGCCACGGTGAGGGGACACAGTGGTTCCAGGGGAGAGGGCTAAATTTGGACCCAAACCCCTTGAAGAGTGGCTTGGTGGAGCTGCAAGTTTGGGTGCCGGGGGTGAAAGCAGCAGACTTACCTTGCCCTCGCCCGAGGAAGAGGCCATCTTGCGCAGGTGTTCCTGCTCAGAGGGGTCGGAGGCGTACTGGGCCAGCTCGTAGAGCACGTTGGTGCGTGGCGGGTTGGTGATGTCCAGGTAGTAGGTGAGGGCTGTGCGGTAGGAGGTGGGGCAGGGGAATGGATGCTTCTTGTTGGATTCCTCTGCAGGGACAGAGAAGGCAGGATTTGGTGTGAGAGGGATGCCACGGGGTTGGGGTGGGAGAAGCCGAAGGCTACTCTGCAGGAAGCAGGCGGCCCAGCTGGCACTGGAAGCAGGGCCAGCTCTTTGCGGGCCCTGGGGCTGAGCCTCAGGCTTTCAGCCAGCCTCAAGCTTCAGGCCAGACAGGTAGTCCTCAGGCGGGACCTTTCCACTCCAGGAGAGTCAGTTCCTAAGTGGCTCAGAGAGAGGGCTGCAGAGGCAGGGCTCCCGGTGTGTCTGCCTGCCTGTGGGCTGAGCCCAGTCTCTTGTGGGGGCCCCAGGCTCATGACTGTGAGATGCCAACACCGTGGCTTTCAGCTGTGATGGCAGGGCCCCTCCAGGTCAGTTTTTATGCTTGGATATACCTGGAGGTCTACACAAGGCACACAGCTGAGCTCTTGGTGCAGCATCCGTACACTCCAGGCGCAGGTCCCACTGCCAGCCCTTGCTGCAGCCTTCTCTGCCACCAGGCACCAGGCCAGCTTTACTGATCTCCTCCCTCCAGACTAGAGATGGGCCAGCCTGGGAGGTGCCAAAAAGCATCTCCCCCTCTTAGAGGCATGACTGTGGGGGCTGTTTATATAAAGCCTGTGCAGATGAGCCTCTGCCGAGGACACTGAGGGCCTTGGCCCAGGAAGGGCTCAGCATTTAAGGGTTTGGGTCTAGTTTTTGAAAGGGTTTGAACTTCTTACTGCAGTATAACCTACATGAAGCATACAACTTATATGTGCATAGCGTAATGAATTTTCACAACATCCTTGTGTATCTAGCACCCAGATAAAAAGGCTGGGTATTCCCAGCACCCCGGAGTCCTCTGTACTGAGCCCAGAAACAGGGCTCAGGCTTCACACTGTAGGAAATGCTCTGAGTGCACCTTTCCTAAAGCGACACTTCTGCCGTGGGGAGTTCTGAGCCTCTGCACCTCTTTCTGGGCAGTTCTCAGCAGTGAAGGGTCCCCTGCAGGGGTTCAGATTGTCCTGGGGGGAGAGTGAGCACACCACACCCTCCCCTGCAAGGTGCCACCTCTGATGGTACAGGGACATGACATACTCCACAGAACGAGAGAGACAGTGTGTCCACTGTGCCTCCACAGCTGGCATGACTAATTATAATATAAGTCAGCCCCCTTTCCTGCTGTTCCTTTCAAAGGCTGACTTAAGCTGGTGAGAAGGTGTAGCCAGGCTAGGATGACCGAGGACAAGAGTGAGTGGGGCAGCACCAGGTAGAGCTGGGCCCCAGGTGGATGGTCAGTGGGGGTACCAAGCGGTCAGAGCAAGAGGCCAGAGGCAGTCCTTTGAAGCCTTGGGAAAATCCTATACCATATTTAGTGCCTCTTGCACTCTGAGCACCCTGCACGGACCTGGGGGTCTGTTAGCATTGCTGACTCTGATCCCCAAGTTTACAGGTGAGGAGATGCAGGCTCTGGAACAGGGAGAGGGCAGCCCTAGGTCCTCAGTAGCCAGTAATGGTGGAGCCAGGCCTAGGGGCCAGGGCCCTTGCCAGTAGTCCCCTCTTTAGGCACCGCTCCCTCCCCCACTCCCTCATAGGGCTATGCCAGTGAGGGGATGGAGGGAACCCCAAGGTAGAGGACTAGACACCACAGCTACTTTTGCTCCCTGCCCCCCAAGTTTGCTACAGGACTGATAACTGTGGGTACCAGGGCTTTAGATCTAAGCAGCTCAACCTACAGGCCTTGCCAAAGGACTTATTCCTATCAGCCACCTCAGGCCCAGGCAGGCAAGGGGAAGTGGCCTTGATTCCAGAACTCACCATCAAGATTGTTCAGGGACATGACAACATCCAGGTCAGCACCCAGGATCTCGCCAATCTGGTTGACCAGGGCAGAGTCATTGGCTGGGTAAATAGCTACATGGTCACCCGATTCATACCTGCGGGGGAGATAGATGTAAGGCTCAGGAGGAGGGTGGAAGGCCTCTGTACCCAAATCAGGAGGCCCCAAGTGAAGGTGTGGGAGAGGGAGTGGCAGTAGCTGGTACCTGATTTTGGAATCTGAGATGTCTAATTCCAGATGCATGAGGTGTCGCTCAGTTCCCTGGTTCAGCTTCCGGTTGGTGGTGACGACAGCCAAGAATGGATTCTTGGCATCAAAGGGGCTGGGTGGGAAGGAGAGCAGCTCAGTGATTGGCCAGGTCTTCAATCTGAATCTCCCTGCCCCAAAGGGGCCCTTCTGGTTTCACAGGACACAGAGAACCTCAGAGCTGGCACCAAGGGCCACGAGGAAACCTCTCCAAGTATGTAAAGGGTTCTCCCAGCCCGATCCCAAGCAGTGCTCTTGACAACTCCACAAGTAGGCAGAGCTACGTTATCAATGTCTCCATTTACAGATATGGAAACTGAGGCTGAGAGACCCTCCATACTCTGAACCCATTTGTGAGTTTAGTGCAAAGGAGGACTAGGCCCATGAAGGTAGCTCCCCAAGGCAAAGGTGCTTGGGTCCCTGGGTGACTGTGTGGAGCAGAGTGCTTCACCCAACGTGCCTGGGACTACAACAGGAACAGGAGGTGAACTTTACTCTGTAAAGTCACTGCAATGTTAGGATTTCCTGTTATAGTGGGACTCCAGCAGGGCTGACTAAAGCAGAGCTGCTGGTCTTGAATCCTGGTGGTACAAGGAGGACTTTCCTGGGCAGCTCCAGCAGGAATCTGGGCAGCACCCGGGTGGAAGGCCAATAAAGGGCCCAAGTGAGGAACATTATGTTTCTGGACAAAAAGTTGAGTGAGCATTTAAGGAGTGTGCCCTTTTGCCAAAGTTCAACCTAGAACTTATTTCCTGGTTCAGGAACTGGTATGCACCTCCCACCCCAATATATTTACAGAGCAAAATGTCAGCAAATAACATACAAACTGAGCAGATGCCAGTCTCTCAGAGACTGTGCCCTGGACTGAGGGACCACTGGGTGGGGAGAGGTCCTGAGGGCCCTAAACACGGAGCAGCCTCCCATCTCTCTGCTCTGGGCCTCATGCTCTCCTCTGTGTAGAGAGCCTCACTCATGCCCACTTCTGGAGAAGGGTGGGGATAAGGACACTCCACAGGATGGGGTCTACAGGGATACACACACTACCAGTTGTTTTCTGTCCCCAGGCGCCTGAGATGGGTGTGCCAAGAGCCACAGGGCCTGGCCCAAATCATGCTCTCCACTCACGGTTTCTGGTTCTCGTAGCTCTTCAGACGTCCCATCTCACCCACGTACACCTTGGCCATGTCTCTCAGAACAGGGCAACACAGGAGTGAAAGAATCAGTGCCCCCTGCCAGGCAGCTTAACGGCTGAGCCAACCTTGCCTTCCTATCCCCCATGCCTTGAATATCTGTACTATGAGATGCAAAATGAATTTCACTCCAGGACTTCCCACCAAAGGGAGCGTGGACTGTGGGGTTTGGAAGGCACGGATTGAATCTAGGCTCTGTACTTCTGGACCTAGTAAGTAAGGCACTTCATATGTCAATCAGTGTTCAGTGAAATAAAACAGGAAGCCAAGTTTTTAGGAGAAAGGAATTAATACAGGAGAGGTGGAAGGGCAGAGGAGCAGGTTCTATGCTGA